CCCCAAAACCCCAAAACCCCAAAACCCCAAAACCCCAGAAATCAAATTTTGGGTTGAAAGTTGCGAATAAAGTATAAAATTATTATTTGGAGGTGCTTTTATTGAGAGAGAAATGATTGTTATTCAGAAAGCTCACAGTTGTTATATTCTTTCGATTGTGGATCTCTGATAGGAAGATCCCATAGAAAATGTGGGGAAAGGTATTTAGTTCCATCTAGTCTTCCGATAAGTTCTGAGAGAATGGAAAAGTCTGATTTTTCTAGAGCTTCAATAAATCCACTTTCTTCGAAATATTGTTCTCTTTTAATGCCAGCTTGTAAAATTTCATTTCTGATTGTAATTAATTTCTTAGCTAGGCTTTTATAAACGGTGCAGGTTCTCAGATACTCTGGCCCACTATTTTTCAATATAATTCATCATAGACTCAGAATATTCCATATTTAGCATTATTTGTTCTGGGTGAGACTCTTCAAGCTTCCTATAATTACTTTGTGATTTCTTTAAACTATTCTATTTCAGTTTTCTAAATCCAATGTTTATTTAAAAAGGAGTGGTCCTAAGTTTGAGAGTAGAGAAGAAGACTACTATTTTGATAAATAATACCTCAGCTGCTTATATTTTCTTTTGAGAGTACGCTTGCTTTTCATTTTATTTGATATATTGACTAGCCTTCATATTTTTAAAGGCAGCAACAAAGCACTTATTATCTTTGGCCAACATATAATTTAAGATATCGCTAAAGGCTTTCTTAATGATCTGAATACGGTCAGGACTCCATTCACTAATATCTTTCCCTGCCATAGATATCTGGGTAAGTCTGACACTGTCAGGGTTATCATTGATCATCTTTGGTATCTTAAAGTATGCAAAATGTTCATGCCTATTCATATTAGCTTTCTCGTCAATCTTTGTAGGACCAGTTTGTCCTTTTCCTTCTAATTTAGCCATGAGTTCTTGGTTCTCTTTATTTCAAGTACAGATTTTCTTCTATCAATTTCTTATTAATCTCTTCTACACATGATCAAGTGGCGTACCTAGCTTCGTAACGTACTGTTTCTTCCTATCTCTGTACTCTTGAGAGCGGACTTTGGTCGGCTTTGACTGTAGGCTAGCTTCTAGTTGGGGTGTGGCCTTGGCCTTGGGAGGATTGGGGGATTTCTTTATGGTGAAGATTGGGGAGTGGGGAACCTCCATTTTTTAAGGGTTTGTTCTTCTATAATAAGTAGAAAGTTAGGGGTTTTGGGGTTTTGGGGTTTTGGGG